GATTTATTAGTTGAATGTAAATATGCCATTAATGTTATTACAGATAGGGAAATAAACTTTTTTTCTCGCACTTTATCAATTTAGTGTGCATTGGAGAGAAACTTGATACCTTTTGGGTGAATTGGTTGACCAAAATACCGCAGTTGAGCATTATGTGTCAATAACAACCATGCCATATTGATACTAGTTTCAAACATCAGTAGTGAGCTTTATGCAATTGAGGCTTATCATCTAGGCACTAAGGAGTTTCTTTGTCGAAGATTCTAAGTTATCTGTTCATTTGCTAAATATGATAACCATAAAGATATTATATTCTTCAGACTAGCCTGGTTGTCTATTTGACTGTGCTAACAACACGACTCATAAGGTGGGTTTCAATGTTGGTTTCTGTATTTGTTGATATGATAGGAAGATGCATTGAGAAAGGGGGAATTAGAAGCAGATACAGATCGAATGATGCGGGAATATAGAGCTCAGCTAGATGCTGAAAGGGCAAGCAAGCTTGCGCATGGTAGAAACCACTCCAGGAGTAAATCTAGCCATAAAAAGGGTATGTGTAAAAGGCCTTAAATAGGCTGGTCTTCTCATGCCCGTGCTTTAGTTACTGTATATTCTTCTTGCTTTCTAAGTGTATTGAATTCATTGCAGATCGAAAAAAAAAAGATGCAAAGAAGCGCAGCAGCAAAAAGAGAAAGGTACTTGTGGTTTCTAACAACTTTATGACTAATTTTTTTGTTTTGTACATGAACTGAAAATGAAACAATGAAGTTGCAAACTATTTGCAACTATTTTCATTTTTGGTATGCAATCTATTTTTAGTTCAGTTCTCCTGCTATCTGTAATTAGATTAGAAATCAAATACGGATGAAATTGCTGAAGCTATAGAATCAAACTGTATCATCCCTTTTATCATTATTGTTATTACAATCAATGTTAACCGAAGTGTTCTCATTAAACCTTTGACTATATGAAGCGTTCAAGACGGAGGTCTTCCGACTCTAGCTCATCAAGTTCATCCTCAGAATCTTCCAGTAGTGAAGACGAAGAGAGAGAATCACGAAAATCGAAGTCTAAGTCTAGGAGAGAGAAGAAAAAGAAACACAAATCAAGAAATAGGAACTCAAGCACTGACAATGAAGATGGTGAAGGTCCAGTGCCACTTTCAAGATTTTTTGGGAGTGTGAAGAGTTAAAATGGTATGTTAAAAGATACCAAATTGTGTAACTGATACTTAATTTCTGCAGTAGAAAATGATTTTTCTCCCATATTTTCTGAATTAAAGGCTTGTAATGATGTTTAATTCCTTTTTTTTTCTTTGGCTTTTGTTTTCTGCTTCATTCCTAGTTTGTAGTCATTGATGGATATAGTATTTTTTCTGAATTGAAGGCTTGTTGTAATGATGTTCTGTATGCCTGTTTGCATTAAAAAAACATTTTTAGTTGCTGAAAACTTGAGCATATATCAAGGAAAATAAATTGAATTATTTGGACTTTGATTAGACTTAGACCGATCATGACCAGGGGTAGGGTACACAAAAAATCTGAATATCCGATTTTACGAGAAAAATATCTGAAATCGGATTTGGGAAAAATCGGTTTTTTTTTTAACCGGATCGGATTTTTTTAAACTGGTTATTTTAACCGGTTTGGAAAAAAAACCTAGACCGGGTTTTTTACCGGATAAAAAACCGGTTTGAAAAAAATCGGTTAAAAAACCGGTTTTTATCCGAAAAAAAAAATCGGTCTGTGTTTAAAAAACTAGCCGTTAATATTGTCGTTGGAGGGGATTTTGTGATCGTTTTTGACCTTTTTTTCTTTAAAAAAATTACCATTTTACCACTCTAAACATTTATAAATAGGTTGGGGATGTATTTGGTTGATTATAACTTTCTCAAATCTTATTACACAACACCTAAACATCTCTCAAATCTTATTTTTGTAATTTTTTGTTCATCATGAGTAACACGGCTGAATCTTCCGTCGAGGGAAACCTTGAAGTCGTGAGAGTGATCGAACACACTCGAAACAAAGATATTTGGGATCACTACGATTTATGTGAGATGTCAAATGGCTCGAGGGGGGCGCGTTGTAAATTTTATCTAAAGTTGCTTGCATCGGAAGGAAACACAACGTTGAAGAACCATTTGACAAAATCATGCAAGGCACTTCGCTCAAGATCGAATCCTAGTCAATCGATTCTTACACCGCAAGGTGGTGTTTTTGTTTACGACAACGAAAAATTACGATAAGCGTTTACAAAGTTCGTGATTACAAAAGCATTGTCGTTCGACCACTTCGATGATGAAGATTTCACGACAACAATTCAACAACTAATGCAACCACGTTATACTCAAGTAAGTCGTACTACCCTTAGAAGAGATGCTATAAAAATATGGCATACGGCGAGGGAAAAAATGATTTTAGGATTCCAAGAACACCGTTATGGTGTGTCGCTTACATATGACGTTTGGAGTTCCCCTCATAATACCGGAAATTCTTTTTTAGCCGTTACGTCACATTGGTTAGATCAAGATAATTGGCAAATGATGAAAAGAACAATCGCGTTTGAATTATTCGGTGAGACGCATACCGGTGCTAATTTATTTACACTTTTAAAAAGGGTAATTTGTCTTTATAAATTAGAAAATAAAGTTTTTTCTATATCCTTTGATAATGCATCGAATAATACAAACGCGGTTCCAAGATTGAAAATATTACTTTCACCGATTTTAGACGGTGCGTTTTTTCATACCCGTTGCGTTGCACACATAATTAATTTATCTGTACAAGCCGGTTTGGAGGTTATTGAGCCGATTAGATTAGAATTTAAAACAATGATAAAATCGGTTCTTTGTAACAACAACAAAAGACTAAATGATTATAAACGATTTTGTAAGTCCGTTAATAAAAAAACATTGGGTCCTAATTTGGATTGTCCAACTCGTTGGAACTCAACTTGGATGATGATGCATACTGCCTTAAGGCAAAGGGAAACATTGCAAACATTTCATGATCGGCTTTTCGAGAGAGGTCATGCCCAAACATTTATCCGGATTCGAGTTGGGAAACTATAGCCAAAATAACTGATTTGCTTGGGGTTTTTAAAAATGCAACAACTTTTTTATCCGGTGTTTATTACCCTTCTAGCCCGTTGGTTCTTAATCAAATATTTTTGTTGGCTACCCGACTAAATGACTTTGAATTTGAAACCGAAGTTTTTCAAGAAATTGGCTTTGCAATGAAGGAAAAACTTTTAAAATATTTTAAGGAGATTCCCCCATTTTTACTTGTGCCGCCGCTTTAAACCCAACGTTAAATGTTGGCGGGGTTGAAACACTAATTGAACAAATTGCGTTTGCTTTTAATCTAACCGATGATGAACCCAACTTTGTCCAAAACCAAATAAATTATTTTAACAAATGTTTTCGAGACATGTTTGCAATTTATTTAACTAAATACGGATCAAGTAGTGTAATACACGATCAAATGAGAATGAATGCGGAATCATCTAGTAGACGTCCAAGTAACATAAATTTGAATCTTTTTAACACTCTTGTAAATTCCCAATCCAAACGATCACGTACTACCACCCCAAGTAGCGAGTTGAGAAATTATATGTCATGCGATTTTCTATCAAAAATGACATTTGAAGAGTTTGAAAGTTTGGATATTTTGGCTTGGTGGAAAGAAAAGGAAGCACAATTTCCGATTCTAGCCGCCATGGCCCGTGATTTACTAACCGTCCAAGCTTCTACGGTAGCTTCGGAATCCGCTTTTTCTGTTAGTGGCAAGGTTATATCGCAACGGAGATCAAGACTAAGTCCTGAGTCGGTGGAAGTATGCATTTGTTTAAAGGATTATTTGGATGGAACGGCTCGTAAGCAACATATCACCACCCTAGAAGATGCAATTGATGCCGATTTAAAAGCAAACTTACACATTGAAGAAGTCGAACTTAGAATATCCCCTCCAAACGAAGAAGGCGAAGATGATGAAGAAGAGATGGCAATGTAGTTTATTTTTAAACTTTATTTCAATTATCGTAAACTTTGTTTCAATTATCGAACTTGAAGTTTTTAAGTATTTGAATTTATCGAACTTGGAAGTTTTTAAGTATTTGAATTTATCAAACTTGAAAGTATTTAAGTATTTCAATCATCGTAAACTTTGTTGCAATTGATGACGATGCAATTTTAATAATATTAAAATCGGTTTTTTATAACCGGTTTTTTAAAAAAATCGGTTTTTTTAAAACCGAAACCGGTTACACCGGTTAGGATATCCGGCCCTCCAAACCGGTTAGAAACCGAACCGGTTATTTTATAAACCGGTTTTTTTTCTATGGGCAAAAACCGGATCGGATAAAAACCGATCCGGATCGGATTGAAATCCGACTTCTATGCAACCCTAACCAGGGGTGCTTATCAAGTGAGTCGATCGCGAGTTGAATAGTGTTCGAATCATGTTTGTTAAAAAAATTGTTGATTGATTAAACTCGTTGCTCGTTAAAATTTTACTTGACTCTTGCTATAAATTAGTAATTAATAGATTAGCAATTTATATTTTTTTTATCTATTAGTAAATTAATAATTTTTTTAATGAAATAATTTTTTAAGCTAACTTTGTTTGACTTAACTTGTTATGGTATTGAGTCAAGCTTAAGTTCGAGTTGAATCAACTCGAATCAAATTTTTATAACGCTTTGACGGAATGGAGTTTAAGCTGCTCAACTCGTAATCATGAGCGCAAATCAGAACCAATTGCTTTTATTTCAATTGGTTATAATTTTGATGAATTGAAAGAGGTAAATGATGAATTAATTTTAAAATTCGAGATAATGTTTTCAAAGCACAAAAAACAAAAATGATATTCTTTCCAAAACTAATAGAGAAAAACCAAGACAGCCTGTACAAACACTAATACAAGAGTTTCAGTTTCATGCAATTCTGCCCTTATCTCAAGCTCAAGAGCCCATCCTGTTGTGGATGGAACCTATGTACAGGAAAAAATCAATCACCGATCCCTACAAATACAAGCATTTTACAACACTGGTTCAAAGCCACTGTAAATAAATGGCATATCAAGTAAATGACTGTTTACTGCTGGTGAAATTCTGGGTTGAATGCAAGTGCCTCCTGGTATATCAGCTCCTTCATTTGCTCCCGTGTTAATGCACGCAGATCGAAGTCGAAGTCGTAGTTAAAGGGGATCATACAAACAGGCTCATCGCTTATGTCGTGCAGGGTTGTTAGATAGGGGTGAGCAAGGGCTTCTTCAACTGGAACAAATAGGAAGTAGAGTTAAATGGGTTCCAACTCTGAACAATGGCATTGAAACATGCTAACTAACATAATCGTAATTATATAAACTCGACTCGACTAAAAAAATCTCAAATAAAGTTTATGTTATAAAATAGGACTCGAATAACTTAAATGACTCAAAAATTTTAATAATTAGTGCATTGGTTTTTAAGTTCAAACCAAGTCCTTCAATTCTGCATGATATATGTATATTGCATATGAAGAAATATATATGTATATTGCATATGAAGAAATATATATGTATATTGTATATGGTTACAGAAAATCGACTCGACTTGAAAAAATTTCAAATAAAATTTGAGTTATAAAATATGATTCATCAACTCGACTAACTCAAAAGTGTTTTACTTAACTCGATTGAATATTCACTCCTATTAAGAGAGGAAAAGAACAAAAATGAGAGAAATGAGCTTTCTTTTGCTACAAACTCACCAGTAATCCTTTGTCTGGGATCAAATCTCAACATCTTTTCAACAAGATCAATAGCTAAAGAATGGACTTTGGGGAATTTTTCGGCGAAAGATTGACGGGGATAAAAAGGAAATTTCCGAATGTATCTCTTAACAATTTCATTCAAAAAATCCATTTCAGCTTCTGATGGAGTGCCAATTAGCTGCAAGGCAAAGAGCTTAGTGTACACAGTGAAATATTACAAGCATTTTTGTAGTTTACCGTTTCTTTTTCCTGAAATGCTTATGGCACCCTATTTAGCAACATATTTGTTTGTGTTTTACATAATTTATATTGGTTGCAGGATAAAAACAATTTACCTCCAAAAGCAATTGCAGCTGATGCAAAGGATCCCTTTCAGGAAATAATGGCTTCCGAATCATCAATTCCATGACAATGCAACCCACTGACCATATATCAATGGCAGCAGTAGAATGTGAAGAATTTAGCAAAATTTCAGGTGAACTGTACGATCCAGCAGCAACATATTCTGTCTGAAAATAAGTTTCAGAGGTGAGACAAGCCACTCCAAAATCACATATTTTCAAGTCACAATTATCTTTCAGTAGAAGGTTGCTGGGTTTCAAGTCCCTGTGCAGAACATTTGCAGAGTGTATATACTTCAGGCCACGTAAGATTTGATAGAGGAAATACTGCAAAGCATAAAGAAAGGTGGTTAAATTGATTTTAAGGCTCAAATGGCAACCCCATAAAAATCAGTGGGGGTTATAATTAACTAAGATACTTCTAGTTGTTGGGGTTTTGTTCTGAAAACAAAAGGCAATGAAACAATATTTTCGGCAAGTTTTAAATTAAGACTGTTCAATATGGAGTTACTTTTATTACCATTAACTTCTACTTCGATGCTTTCTATGAAGAAATAATGTCAAGTTTTAACTTTTTAACAATTAGAGGCTTAAAGAAAGCTCTCTATAGCATATTTGTCAAGTACAATAGAAGGGTAATGATTGCATTAATAGCAACTGCTATTACCAATTCAATGAAGTAAGAAGATAGAGTGACTAGAAAGAAGCAGAGTTCTGTACTGGCTAACGACTTGGATAGGAGGGAGGAAAATTAAGAATCTAAATTACCTAGTCAAATGGAAATAGCCGTACCATTAAAACGTTAGCTAGTAACTAAAGGAATATGACTATTATAAAAACTAGCCACGAGTTTATATTCCAACCTGATAATGCTCTTCTGTAAATTCCCGATTAGAACGGAGCATATGACGCAGGTTAGTATCCATCAGCTCATATACAATGTAAACATCATTAAAGCATTCCCACTGGGGTGGTAGGATTATATCCCTGATTGCAACAACCTGCATTAAATGCACAAATGAGACCAACACATAATGATAACAAAAAGGAACATCATTCTTCCTAGCTCTCTCCCTCTCACTCTGAGTTTGTCTATTCACAACTAGAGAAAAGAATTCACATAAACATATAACAGGTTATAACCAAATAATGTCAAGGGTTTTACATGGTAAGATGAGGTTTAAACAAACACTAGTGATGCATTACAAAACACAAATCAACAATATATTTCATCGATCTTAACAACCAAATACAGAAAGTGCAACCATTGTAAGATGGAATGAAACTGTTTTCATTAGCCATCTACAAAAGAAAAATAAACACAGACATAGTTACATAGAAAAAGAACTTCTGTTCTTCGCTTGAGGAAGGTTCCTAAATGCTGGTCTTTACCAATGTAGCATAACATGCAATGTTTTTGGTAATTATAGAAATGTATTAATTATGTTTGTGCAAAGAATTGGAATCCACTTGCACACAAAATAATAACTGTCACCTTGTTAGATTCTTGAGTTCTGTTCTATGATTGGTAAGCAGTGAGCAAATACTCCTATGTTGCTTTGACTCTTTTCCACCCCGCTTGTTGGGGGTGTTATTGTTCTCTCTGAAAATTTTAAATTCTCACGTAGTTAAAGTATTTTTTTAAATATTTTTATTGATGATCTAATTTCGCATCCACGAAATAAAATCTTATGTCCATTCTTGTACTCAAGCACATTAACAATTCAAAGTGGAGAGGAAATAAGGTTCTGATTCCCCAAATATAGCAAAAAAGTTTAAAAGGAGTTTGAACACACCAATAGCACAGCCATAACAACAACATTAGAACAGCAACAAAGAAAATAAAAAAACTTAAAGAAATTTATTAATAACAAATGAACTGCACAAAAAGCAAGTTAAAGGAAACCAGAAAAAGAAAATAAGATTCTACTCACTGACGTTTTCATGGCCCAAGTGGCGAAGCAGCTTGATCTCACGAAGAGTTCTCCTTGCATCAAATCCGTTATCAAACGCATTCGGTATCTTCTTTAATGCCACGGTTTCATTTGCCTCGGAATTAAACGCAGAACTAAACCCAAATAATTGAAAAGAATCAACATGATGGCAAAGCTTTAGGGAACGCAAATCAATCAAGTAAGAGCGGAATTAAAAGAAACACAATCAAAAGAAGAACAAGAATTACCAAAAGATTCTGTGGTCGCGTTTACCGATAGGCACGATAGGGGCTTTATATTTAGCAGTGACCTGAAAGATGTTGCCAGAGATGTTATACTGAATAAACCTGCCGCCATAGGTAGCATTGGCCGGAATTTCAATAACGTAAGGCATCTGCAGTCGATTTTTCTGGTGGTATTGTTGGTCAGGTTGTTGCGGCGGTGGAGCTGCCTCGGACATCTCGGTTTCCGCCGGCTGAGGTGGACCTTCCTCTTCCATTCTTTTACTTCAAATTTTATTGGTCAAATTGATCTGTTTCTTTTCTTTTTCTCTTCTTCGGCGAGGGAAAGGTTTTTAAATTAAGAGGGAACATGACAATTATGTTTAAATAATTATTTAAGTTATTAAAATTCATGATTATTAAATTATTATTAAATAATTATTAAATTTTATTGAACTGTTACAAGATGATAATTAAATTTTATGGAGCTATTGTTATAACGTCAAAAAATCATGTTTATAATTTTAAATTTTAATAATTAAAATAACCATTTAAACATAATCCAATGACCTCTAGTATACCTTATCCTTAGAATAAACATTGAGTTTATTTAGGGGTGAGTGTTCGATCGAGTCGGGTAAAAAAATTCGAGTTATTTGAGTCGACAAGTCCTATTTTATAACTCAAATTTGACTTGAAATTTTTTTCGAGTTGAGTCAAGTTGCTCGAGTTTCTGTTTAAATTTAATTGTAAATATTTATAATATTATGACATTATTTGACTCCAATTTAAATAGTTTTCTTTAACTATATACAATACATATATGTTTCTTCATATTTTTTCGTATATTATATACATATATCATACAGAGTCAAGAGACTCAACTCAAACTTGAAAATCAATCCACTTATTACGAAAATTTTTGAGTTACTAAAGTTGTATTTTATAACTTGACTCAAATTTGAAATTTTTTCGAGTCGAGTCGAGTTTTTTTTTAGTCGAATCAATAAGATCGGTTTTTCAAGTTGAATCGAGTTTTGTTCATCTCTAAATTTATTCATTAAGAAATTTAAGCTCAAGTGTTAATATATGATATGTTATAATACATAAAAGATACTACTCAAATTATAAAAGATAGAAATTGGTGCCAATTCCACTAGAAGCAGTTGTGGAAACTGAAACCTCCCTATAGGATTCAAGTATTCCTAATATGGAAGCTGTGTAATGACTATTTACCTATTACGAAATGTGCTTTCGCTATAGCTTCCATTCATCAACATTCATCAATGGATCCAACAATGGCTTTCCTCGAGATCAATTGAAACACCGAAAGGGATTCGATTCTACATCTATTTCGTTGTGATCCGCTCATCTATCTTGTCAATCCGTTACCGAATCCAACGACGAGTGTTATACATGACCAACAAACTGCTGAAACTCGGATCTTCTACTCATAGCCTTAATGTTATTTGTTTGTTTTCATGTATCAAAAAGATATGTGAAACTTGTTGAACTCAATTGATCAAATATCTATCAGGATACATCTTACAGTAATTAAGATAGAACATCTATAGTTTTTATAGCTCAAATGAAAGTCACTCCTGGTTAGAAATTTGATGATTCAGTTAATAGTCCCTCTGTCCTAATGATATTAACATGCTAGTCTCTCTGTCCTAATGATATTAACATGCTAGTCTCTCTGTCCTAATGATATTGACATGCACACGTTCTGCAGACGCATCTACTGATGTGCTATTTAAAAGCTATATTTGATGTTCGAAAATATCATTTAACTTCTAAATTTTCTCTCGACCCTTAAGAGACGAGTGTCTTGGTGAAGGACATGATTTGTATATCGTGTGGTGCTTCATATTTGGTCTTAGTGATTGCCGTGTATGATTTCTGCGGTCTCTAACATAGAAATAGGACATAACAGTTGTCTTACTATGCATTTGTTGTTATCTTAAGTTCTTCTAAACATATCTTTAGCTGTTTATATATATATAAACATTTGAAAATTAACGTCCAATCGTCATTGAAGTCACTGGTGTTTAAACTCATAACCTCTAGGAACAACAACGATTCCTTTGATCACTGAGGTAAATTGGTTCGTGCAAGTTACTTCTATTTTTAACTTCATCTCATATTAATTTATCACATTTAAGATCTTTAGTTTAAGCAAAAACTTTATCAAGCAACACTGCTGTCTTATTTATTTGCAGAACGAACCTTTGGAACTGATGTTCGTCCCTTTGCATTGCAGATTGAACTTTAAACCATTTAAGAGGCCTCGTTTTCTGAATCTTACACCAAAATGAGTTCATAAATGTAAACTGCATAACATGGGAGAATAAATTCTACCATGTGAAAGCTGGAAGGACGTAGGTTGGATATGCATCGTATTTGGACGCAAGGGCCTTTACAGAGGATGAATCTGCAACTTGTCCGAAACTATCCAGTCCAAGCTCAGTTGCATGGATCCCTCCGGTGATAAATGCTGACTGGATTCCGGCTGCATTTGCACCCTTAATGTCGTGATGAAGAGAGTCACCGACGGCAATAGTATTGGAGGCTTCCACACCAACCATGGCCATGGCTGATTCATATATTATCTGAAAAAAGAACCAACAGGTGTAAATAAAAATTACAGTGCCATTGATGTGCTTTAAGGGAAACAGCAACAATCGAAAGAAATAAGGCTGAACAAACAATTAGGAACGAAGATGAAACTCTAAAAGACTAGGGGTTTTAGAAAACCTCTAGTTATTCTATCAATTCAAAGAAAATAATAAGAATAATGAGGTTGTAAATATTTTACAGCTTATTCATACCAGGGTTACAAATAAAGTTTTAATCCTAGCCTTAGATTTAAACCCTAAAGATTACTTATAATCCTAACCTTAGATTTAAACCCTAAAAATAACTAATAATCCTAACCTTAGATTTAAACCCTAAAAATAACTAATAATCCTAATTGTCTGTGTCTGTCTATACGTCTAATAAAATAAATAAGACAAACTTAATCAAATAAAATAATTGTAAAGCTCTTGCATCAGTCATAGGGGAAATGTTCATCCAAATACAAGATAAAAGAAACAGTGATATAATCATATAAGGAGAAATAGTGGCACACTACACTACCTACTGACATTTCAACATAAAGCACTCACGTTAGATGCTTAATAGGTTATCTTCCGATGCTAAGTTCAAACTTACATTACGACTTAACCATAACCATCTGCTTAATAAACCTAAATAGAATAATCATAGAGAAAAGAAGTCAGCTAAAACGACAAAACATTATTTGGCAATATAGATCTATCAACTAGATTGATCTAACTTGTGGTTGCTAGGTTATCATACATTTTAAATCCTAAACAAACCCACAAACAGTTTCTGACTGTGCTCAATTTGTTTAACAAGGTAAAATATAATGAATTTTTATATATTAAGAAAGAATTAGGAAAGAAAAGCAACCAGATAAAGACATCCCATGACAACTGCAAGAAGACGTATTATGCACAAATGATCATGGTCGGTAGAATAAACTTGCAAGACTGTTTACTAGAGCAAAGAAATGGCAAGATCATGAATGGCCCTGGATTTAAGAAAGAAGAAATAGGTAACAAGTATAAAGAACAAAATGATCATATCACCTTATCTGGTTTCCCCATCCATTTCACTTCACCACCAAGCTTTTCATATTTGGCGGCTAAGGTACCTAACACAAACCAAGATGTTTTAACTTTAAAGAATCTTTCATGCATCACAGTGAAGGAATTTCATTTTTCACAACATGCTTGTAAAGTTAAATAGTCCCAACCAAGGAATCCAGGGGCATAGAATCCATGTAACTGTTATTTTTTTCATTACTTTTTGAGGAAAGAGCAGCAATTGTCTAAAAAAGTGTCAAGACCCGAAATTTTAAATGACAAGAATCACGATAAATGAATTTGATGTAAGGTTGCTTTAAGGATTCAAATCTTACAATTATTTGGATTTTTTGGCATCCATTAAAGTTCAAGTTCTTTCATATTTTCACTGGACCCAAGCGATAAACAAATTGTTGAAAGATCACAGAAAAATCTGTCTTGAGGAGAGTGCAAAACCTTGACAAAATAAGTCTTGAAAATCTTAACACTGCCTTTGAAAGTAAAATCAACAGGGATCTCAACTAAGGTTAATTATTACAAGATGATAAATCAAGTAACATTCCTGGTAGTATATGAGAGTGGGTGAATGCACACCCTCAATGTAATATGCAAGAAAAATAAATCATATTTATATATGTTCTAATTATCAAATACATTTTTTGTTGAGAATAACTTCATCTAAAAATAAAAGCAGAAAGCCAATTGTAAGCTCACAGGAATAAACGTCAAAATATTGGTATGAATCACAAAAAATAAATTCAAGAAACCAATCCAAACAGATTTAATACCATAAATATTCCTCAGTATATGAAATTAAAAAAAGAAAAGAAAAAAAAGAAGAAGACGCTTAAGTTAAGTTTACATGTATAAAATCGATAAGCGTTTAATAGGTGTCAACAATCTGAAGACAATTAAATGAGGAGATCAGAAAAACAACTGAAATGACATACACAGAATTAGAAAGAATGATCCCCATTACACAACAAAAAAGGAGATATGCTTCGACATGCTAAAACATCTATTTGAAAGGAGATGAAGACAATTGTCTGCTTCTCAGTTACTGATGAATTGTTTTTGGTTCCCATAGAGCAACTATAAATGTGATTTAAAATTATTACTATTGTTCTTCAACCCAATTTTGCAATCGAGTAAATCTTTACAACTTACCAGGCATGACACTCAAAGCTCTAGCTTCGACAGTCACAAAGTCTGGATTAGCTACCACCATTGGAATCTTTTTAGTTGCACAACACTCCAATATCTTCTCAAGACCCTCAAGACTCATGGGACGTACCAAACCTGAAGGAAGCCCTAAGGCTTCAGTGCCATGCGCCAAGATAAAATCAGCCTCTTCAACATTCTCAACAACTTGTAAGCCCAAACCCTACAAGAATAAATTGATATACTATGACATGTTAATTCAATCACGCTGCCAAGTCATTAAGTCTGAATATAACTAGTAAAGCAATGGAGATGATAAAAGTGTTTGACTGGCACATCAATGGATGGACTAGGTGTCTAATCCCCTTTGAAAGCCAACGGCTGAAGTTATAGTTCTTCAACAAGAAAGAAGTCCTTCAGTCCATGGCAATATGTTTTGACAGTGAGCAGGTTCTTAATAAAGTAATTATTTTCTTTTCGATACC